CTGAAAGCTACCTCTCACAAATGAACTGATCATTAGATTGCGGTGTTGCAATTTACGATACCGAAATAAATGTACAATTGCCGTCAGAACACTAGATATGTCTCAGAATACTATTTCTTGAGCACGTTTTTTTTTCAGTTAAAGTTAGGTGAGAATTATAATAAATAGAGGTACACTTGTGACACTTCTCTCTAATTGGAATGCAACTCATCGTGTATTGGTGTTCGTCAAATACATGTTCTGAGGCAAAGATATTTTATCTGCTTCATAAACACCAGTGGATGATGAATTTCATATATGAAACTTCCCACCAATTTGACAAAATCGAACCTCCTAAACCCTTTAGATGTGTGTAATATTTATCCGAAAACTTCCTATATTTAATTGTATGTTTGCATACACATCAAATTTAATCCAAAGAGGGTAAATTATATTCAATGTGTTCAGTCATACCTCAGAAATTTCATCAAACAATTTCTGACTGTTGATATGGAGAGATTACTATAAGAAGGGACAGCTTTACCAGCTACTGCTAGAACATTGCTGACAATATAACTGGAAGTAACGTGCATGCACTCATTTCGTTCAGTACGATCGTTTACAATTATCACATTTGTCAATCGCTTCATCACTATCACTTGCAGTGTTATCACCCTCCATGATGTTAATGTGTTTCCCCGATCTGTCAAAGTGGTCGCTACTTAGAGTAACTCCTCTCCATCCGTCGTTTCGGAGAAACAAAATCTATCTTTCATTTCATCCCTTTCGAGTAATCCAGGCAGAGTCCCAATGGAGTGATCGACCGCTAGGGCAGAAGGGATCCGTGGGTGCACGCCCACCGCCGCGTCCTGCGCTACGTCGCGCGCTGTCGCCCGCCCGCGGCCTCATCTGCGAGCGACTTTCCGTGTTCGCGCCGCGCGGACTGGTGCGCTGACGGACGGGAAGAGTTACGCGGCGTCTGTGCGTCCTGCATTGGGCATCCTCTGGAGCGCGCTCATCCAAGTGCCGGGCCTCCCCACACCTCCCGCGGACCCAACACCACCACAGGTCGCCCCCACACAACCCGCGTCTCCCGCGCCGCTTAGCGCCGTCCGCGCCACCTCACTCCGCCCTGCCCTCGCCCGAACGGTCGTGCCTCGCCAATCCAGTCGCCCCGTCCGCCCCGTCCCGCCCCGTCCCGCCCCGTCCCGCCCCGTCCCGCCCCGTCCCGCCCCGTTCCCGCCCCGTCCCGCCCCGTCCCGCCCCGTCCCGCCCGTCCCGCCCCGTTCCCGCCCCGTCCCCGCCCCGTCCCCGCCCCCGTCCCGCCCCGTCCCGCCCCGTCCCGCCCCGTCCCGCCCGTCCGCCCGTCCCGCCCCCGTCCCGCCCCGTCCCCCCCGTCCCCGCCCCGTCCCGCCCCGTTCCCGCCCCGTCCCGCCCCGTCCCGCCCGTCCCGCCCCGTCCCGCCCCGTCCCGCCCCGTCCCGCCCTGTTCCGCCCGTCCCGGCCCCGTCCCCCCGTCCCGCCCCGTTCCCGCCCCGTCCCGCCCCGTCCCGCTCCCCGTCCCGCCCCCGTCCCGCCCCGTCCGCCCCGTCCCGCCCCGTCCCGCCCGCCCCGTCCGCCCCGTCCCGTCCCGCCCCGTCCCGGCCCCCGTCCCGCCCCGTCCCGCCCCGTCCCGCCCCGTCCCCGCCCGTCCCGCCCCGTTCCCGCCACCGTCCCGCCCCCGTCCGCCCCCGTCCCGCCCCGTCCCGCCCCGTCCCGCCCCGTCCGCCCCGGCCCCGCCCGCCGCCCGCCCCGCCCCGTCCCGCCCCGTTTTTTTTTTCCCCCCCCCGGGCCCCGTCCCGCCCCGTCCCGCCCCGGTCCCGCCCCCGTCCCGCCCCTCCCCGCCCCGTCGCCGCCCCCGTCCCGCCCCGTCCCGCCCGGTCCCGCCCCGTCCCGCTCCGTCCCGCCCCCGTCCGCCCGTCCCGCCCCGCCCCGTCCCGCCAACCGTCCCGCCCCGATCCCGCCCGTCCCCGCCCCGTCCCGCCCCGTCCCGCCCCGTCCCGCCCCGTCCCGCCCCGTTCCCGCCCCGTCCCGCCCCCCGTCCCGCCCCGTCCCGCCCCCGTCCCGCCCCCGTCCCGCCCCCGTTCCCGCCCCGTCCCGCCCCGTCCCGCCCCGTCCGCCCCGTCCCGCCCCGTCCCGCCCCGTCCCGCCCCGTCCCGCCCGCGTCCCGCCCCGTCCCGCCCCGTCCGCCCCGTCCCGCCCCCGTCCCGCCCCGTCCCGCCCCCGTCCCGCCCGTCCCCGCCCCGTTCCCCCCGTCCCCCCTCAGCCCCGTCCCGCCCCGTCCCGCCCCGTCCGCCCCGGCCCCGTCCCGCCCCGTCCCGCCCCGTCCCGCCCCGTCCCGTCCCGCCCCGTCCCGCCCCGTCCCGCCCCGTCCCGCCCGTCCCGCCCCGTCCGCCCCGTCCCGCCCCGTCCCGCCCCGTCCGCCCCGTCCCGCCCCGTTCCCGCCCCCGTTCCCCGCCCCGTCCCGCCCCGTCCCGCCCCCGCCCCGGCCCCCGCCCCCCCGCCCCGCCCCGTCCCGCCCGTCCCGCCCCTCCCGCCCCGTCCCGCCCGCGTCCCCCCACCCCGGTTCCCGCCCCGTCCCGCCCCGTCCCGCCCGTCTCCGCCCCGTCCGCCCCGGTCCCGCCCCGTCCCGCCCGTCCCCGCCCCGCCCCGTCCCGCCCCCGTCCCGCCCGTCCCGCCCGTCCCGTCCCGCCCCGTCCCGCCCCGTCCCGCCCCGTCAAACCGCCCCGTCCCGCCCCGTCCGCCCCGTCCCGCCCCGTCCCGCCCCGTCCCGCCCCGTCCCGCCCCGTCCCGCCCCGTCCGCCCCGTCCCGCCCCGTCCGCCCCGTCCGCCCCGTCCCGCCCCGTCCCGCCCCGTCCCGCTCCCGTCCCGCCCCCGTCCCGCCCCGTCCCGCCCGTTCCCGGCCCCGTCCCGCCCGCCGTCCCGCCCGTCCCGCCCGTCCCGCCCCGTCCCGCCCGTCCCGCCCCGGTCCCGCCCGTCCCGCCCCGTCCCGCCCCGTCCCGCCCCGTCCCGGCCCCGTCCCGCCCCGTCCCGCCCCGGTCCCGCCCCGTCCCGCCCCGTCCCGGCCCCCGTCCGCCCCGTCCCGCCCCGTCCCGCCCCGTCCCGCCCCGTCCCGCCCGTCCCGCCCCGTCCCCGCCCCGTCCCGCCCCGTCCCGCCCCTCCGCCCCGTCCCGCCCCGCCCCGCCCCGCCCCGCCCCCGCCCCGCCCCGTCCCGCCCCGTCCGCCCCGTCCTCGCCCCGTCCCGCCCGTCCCGCCCCGTCCCTCCCGTCCCGCCCGCGTCCGCCCCGTCCCGCCCCCGTCCGCCCCCGTCCCCGCCCCGTCCCGCCCCGTCCCGCCCCGTCCCGCCCCGTCCCGCCCCCGTCCCGCCCCCCGTCCCGCCCCGGCCCGCCGCCCCCCGTCCCGCCCGCGTCCCGCCCTCCGCCCCCGTCCCGCCCCGTCCCGCCCGTCCCGCCCGCCCGCCCCGCCCGTCCAGCCTCCCGCCCCCGTCCCGCCGTCCCCGCCCGCCCGCCCCGTCCCCCCTCCCGCGTCCCCCCGCCGCCGTCCCGCCCGTTCCCGCCCCCGCCCGCCCGTCCCCCGCCCCGCCCCGGCCCGCCCGTCCCGCCCCGTCACCCACTCCACTCCGCAAAGCCCCAGAGGCACTCCCCCGCGCTGTCTCGCATCGCGCTGGCATATCGCGAGGGATAGTGGGCGGGGCGGTAATGTAATTAATTGCGCTGCGAACCCCGGATAATTCTCCTCGAGGAAAGGCTTCGCGGAATGGAACAAATTATTCCTGCGAGAACCGGCGCCTGTGAGCTGCGCGCTACAGCGCGACGCAATTGCAAAAATACGGCCGGCGGACTGGCCCCAACGAGTTCCATGAAACGGAGCTTTTGCATGAGCCCGCGAGGACTTCGCATCGCGCCGCGCAACACTCGCTCCTTTCTTAGGCGCGCTTGTGTGCACATCGTTTCAATCTCCTCGTGATTTACTTCTCAATATTTATTTTTCTGTTCACTTGACTCCTCACAAAAGAGTAATTTTTGTTTTGTTGCTGTGTTTATTTAATGCATTTGAATAAACATTATTCTGAAGCGTTTACTTTCCCCAGTATGACTGTTAATGAAATTAGAACAATCGCGTGAATTTGAAGTAGCCGAAGTTTGACAAAAAACATCAATGAACACGAAATGTAAAATTATCTTTGTTACATTCAATCTTGACCATTTGTGTTTTCGGTCGAGTAAAATAGAGCTACAGCTACACTATTGCAATCGTTCAGTTCTTGCCACGAAGAAAAAGCAGGCAGCCAGAATACGCGTGCATGTCGACTTACTCTCTGGAATCACTACGTTTCCTTTATCATGTAGTGTGTAAACAATTCAAAACAGGACTCCGGCGCTGGAACATTACTACATGTGGCAAAAGTTACAACCTCACATATAACGAATTACCAACCCTGCATTATCCAAACCCGCATAATCCCACCCCGCATTAATCGCCAACCCCGCATTAATCCCCACCCCCATTAATCCACCCGCATTAAGCCCCCACCCCCCGCATTAATCCACACCCCGCATTAATCCCCACCCCGCATTAATCCCACCCCACATTAATCCCACCCCACATTAATCCCCACCCCACGATTAATCCCACCCCACATTTAATCCCACCCCACATTAATCCCACCCCACATTAATCCCACCCCACATTAATTCCACCCCACATTAATCCCACACAAAAATGCATTCATAAATTTTCAATAATTCTTTTTGAAGACGCATGTGATGTACTCGGAGCTAGCTGCACTGAGTAAACATGCGTGTCTCTTGTTGCAGTGCCGCCTCTGAACCTGACGCTGCTTGACGGCGACGGGCGCGTCATCGACGGCCCCACGATCGGCCCCTACCTCGAGGGCACCTTCGCCACCGTCACCTGCGTCGCTTACGGAGGTACGTCTCGCCCCCCCCTCCACACACACACACACACACACACACACACTCACACACACACACACACACACACACACTGCCACAGCGGCGCTCTGTTCAATGTTGCTGCCAAACCAGACATAAATTCCCTGAACTAAACTCGAACTATTGTTTCCAATTATTATCATTCATACAGAAACAGCTACATATCCCGCAGGAAAATAATTGCTTTTTAGAGTTGCCCTTTCCAATCGGTTTTTTAAGTGATAGCTAATAGAGATTGTTCAGCTTTGAGAAGGTTGCGAGAGTCCAACAAATAACACATCAGATGGATATCAACCTATATTATATTGTATTATTTCAGAACAGATTTGATATACTTATTGTTACTAATTTTTAAATAAATTCAGTTTTAAAACTAATTGAAGAGTGGTCAAGATAAATGGTTTAAGGGCCACGACAGAATATTTTCCTTTTTTTTGTTGGTTTCTTTTGTTTTTGTTTTTTAAAAAACTTTATATCGCCATACGAATGTGATTATTGAACCCTCAAGTTGCTTGCCTTGCAGTGGGTTCGCATACTTGCGAGTTGAGTAGCTAAGAACCTCGACGTTGGGGGTTGCATATATCTTGGGAAATCAGGTGGACGCCGGCTTTGCTGGACCAGCAGCTAGTTGTCACGTGGTGGTTTGCAAACCTCCCTCCCACGCTCGACGGTGGTCAGGTGGGGGTGAGCCGACGGATATAAATTGGTCCGACTCGTTCACGCCGGCGGGTTTTGCTTTTGAAAACCACGCGTTTGCGCAAAATTCACGCCCAGGCTAGAGCGTATTCGTGCGTTGCGCGGGTGGCGAAAGTCACATGAATGGCACGAAAGGAGCGTGAACTTGAGACTGGGCCTATCTGGTAAATGTAGTGCATCGACAGGACTGAACGCTTACGGCTGGCGGTCGGGAAATATCTGAAAGTATGAACGGAGTAGTTTCAATACATTATTTAGTACATAAAACGTGTGTATACCTTTCATGTCTGTGTGCTTAATTCCACGACGCCACAATATGAGTATATTTTTTTATTTCCTGAAGCATTTACGTAGACAATTTCACTCTAAGTAAAGAATAATTTATTATGAAATGTCTCTTTTGGTTTAAAGATGTGATAAGGTAAGAGCACCTATAGTTGACAGGGCATCTATAGTAGACATGCTATTTTTAAATGTTTTACATAACGTTATGTTAGAGGAGGAGGTCGTTAGTAATTCTGATAACACTGCCGAGCTTTGTTTCACGGTTGAAATATTCAAAGTATAATACATTGATTGCATCATGTTGCATCAGTAACTTGAAGAGTGCAGAATCGAAGAAAGTGACTAAAGCTGAAGCAGAGCTAGAAACCGTTAAGAAAAGTAAGTATTGATAATAAGAATTAAGATACGACCTCTTTCATTTTCTATGCTGTTTATGTGCGTAATTGGGATACAGGATGAATCTTACGAATCTTTAGAGGAAGAAAGTATGTTATAGAATAGTAGGGTGGTCAGGTATAGGTTCTTATAAATTACAGCTGCTCGTATGCATGGCATACGTGTAGATTTAAAGTACCCAACATGTCAGCTTTTGAGGGCTTATACAATTGTTTGTCTCCAGGTAAAACATGGCTCCTGAAAAGATCCAAAAATAGTATCAGCAACCAATGCTTGATGCTACAGAAGCAGTAAATAAAGGTATGAACCATAATGCTGCTTCGACATATGTTTCCAGAGTCACTTTAATGGGAAAACACAAAGAAAACGTTCCCTTAGAAATGAAAATGGGACCTGCAACAGCTTTTTCTTTTTCCACAAATTTCTTGTAGTGTGGTTAATAATGGTAGGGCAGGATTTCCAATGTCCAAATCCAGGTTTTTTGTATTCAGTAAGTAAGCTGGCTGCTGACTTAAAACTTGGAGTTCAAGTATTCTTCCCCAGTAAGAAATGGAGTGACGAATTTTTACAAAGACACCCAACTATAGTCAAAGAATGTGTCAAAGTTTGGAAACTAGCCGTAGGCAGTTTACGGAAACCCTTATAAAACAGTGGTTTGAAGTGCGAACATGTTTGGTAGACAAGGAACTCAACTTAGTTCTTGAGGATTAATGAAGTATCTTCAATAGGGATGAAACTTCCTTTTTTCTGAATCCTGTGGATGAAAAACTCCTAGTAAAATGAGGAAGCAATTCCGTCTATCAATGAGCTGGTAATGACGGAAATGAAACGTATGGTAATAAAGAAAGTTTCATACTTCCATAAAGGTCTTTATTGTTTAAACACATTATAAAAGCATACCCAAATCAGACTTGTTTCCCTTTAATGATCTGAGTAGGATTGTAGGTACCTTACGGGTCAGCTTAAGAATCCTCTGTGCTTTATTTTGTCGACAATAGGTGCATTTCCAGAGGATTAAGATTAAATTTACTTTCAAAACTATTCTCACTGTTTAACCAGTAATAAGCACTTATCATAAAATAGGGGCTTTTAGGGGTCAAAAAATAAATATTACAATGCTTTGTTATTTGAAAGTGTCATCTGAGAACTAAAATAAATGCGGTTTTTTCCTTAACATGTCGACTATTGGTGCTCTTATATTATTCTAGTACAAAATCTCTCTAACCGCCGAGTCGATCTAGTGAGTGCGTTTGAGGTTCGTTCATCCCCGTTCTCTGCTCGTGCGACAAATAGATCGGAGGCATCCGGGGGCATCAGTCGCAAGCGGGGTTCGATCCCGGGCCGCGCTCTGGCGTCGCCAGCGCCCCCTGGGAAATAAGGGCAGCCGCCTCTGCTCCGAGCCCCCCCCCCCTTCACCGCGGCGCACAGTGCGCGCAAACCAGCGTCGCAAGGGCAAACAAAACACGACCGCGCCACGGCGTTTGGGTATTTATGCACAAAAGTAAGGGTTATAACGATCGAGCGGCGACGAAAAGCCTGAGGACTTTTGGCCTGATTTACTGATGAACTGGATGTTAACTTGACTCGGTTTGTCTTTCCATATTTCTCTCCTATAATTCTTTTTCATAATTCCCTTCTTAAAATAACATTTAATATCATTCAACTGTTTTCGTATTTCCTTGGTAAACACGATCCTCTCGGATCCAATAAGTTATGCAGTACATATCGAACATAGACTAGAGATATACTAGAGTGCGCACCAGGGTGCGCAGAAGGCCCAGCCGGGTATCAACATCTCTCGCGCCCAAGTCACGCGACTTTGGGACAGCTAGCAGGCATCTGCTATACACCCGTCTCGTACTAAATGATTTCATTGAATAAGTATCTAACATGCTTCACTCTAGCGTTATTTTCTCATTTATTACACAGCCCTAAGAATGTTGCTCATAGCAGAAAAGTTACTTTAAGTTATTCTGCTCTTTTGCAGATTTCACATCTGCAGAAGGGTATTTCAGATCATCCTTCCTCTGAATGAAGGAATGTGATATTTCATCACTATCATTCCAGCAAAGAACAATCTTACAGTCAACACACGCAAGTGACATTTCCAAATTTTTTACTACAAATCCTCCAATATACGTTTCAATGTCCACAACATAGGGAGACATTATAGTTTCAAGATTGTCTACTGACGGCAAGTGGTCAATTGGCACCTCAATGCACAGTTCAGGATCTTTCACTTGCGACACGTGCATACTGGCGTAAGCTAACATTTAATATAGTTGTTTCATCCTGTGGAAAACAATTTGCAAAGGCAGAAGAAGAAATCTGGTGATGCACCAGTAATCGCTGGTAAGCCCCAGCAAATTGCTTAGCAGTAGGAGTATTGTTGAATCCGCCTTTGCTCCATAGGCAGCTGAAAACCATTTCCAGATGGTCCAGGCTAAAGTAGTAGGCCCCCAGATAATTACGCTGTAGCACCAGAAATAACAAATAGCACGTAAATACACACAATACAACGCAAAACAAGCTATCAGTGTCCCAAAGTCACGTAACTTGCGACCACCGCATCTTGAATCCTGCGCAGTAGGTTCACGCGCACTCTAGTTGTATCTCTCCTCTATGATATCGAAGTCAGTATAGAAGGCACGAACGAATCAGTAAACACATAGGCACGAACGAATCAGTAAACACATAAGCACGAACGAATCAGTAGAAAATATGTTTCATATGTTGTGTTGAGCTGATGGACGTATCGTCCCTACGCCAAAATCACATTGATCAAGAAACAGTCCTATTGTAACTTTTTAACTGCCACTTGCCACTGCCTAAATCAGGATTATATTATTACATGGCTAAACTGCTTTCATTCTTACAAAACAATTATTATTAGGTTTATTCATTAGTAAAAATGAAATTTAAAAAAATTATTGTGTTATTTACACAATTAAAAACAAATATAGGTAATAAAGAGGAATGTTTCAGTTCAAATATTTTAACAAAAGGTTGTTCTAAAATCTTTCAGAAATCAATCAATGCTTAATTTTTGAAAAAAGTTCCTTATTAATAAAAATTTAAAGCTAAGCGTTATCAGCCTTTAAGTTTACAGAAAAATTTCCGTAACAAAAATATGCATATGATTATAAAATCAAAATAATAATTTTAAAAATCTGAGTCCCCCTCTGCCCTTCACTAGAAAAATATGACCGTTCTGTGTAGCGTTAGATTCCTTTTAAAAGGTCAATTTAATTTAGAATTGTTAAAGTACAATTAAATTCGGCGATTTTGAAAATTGATAGTACACTCGTCTTTGCAAAAACGAATATCGAAGTCTAGCTAAGATCATGACCGAAAATTAATTTATCACTTATTCATGGTATAGAGATCCATTCTCACCATCCAATACATATCATTGCCTAAGTTTCGGAACATTTCAACTATCTGCGTTTGCGCGTCTCGAGTTTAACGATGTTTCGAAAGTGCTCACAGACACCAGCTAACCTTGTCTGGTGTCTCCGCATCCCAATTGGACTCAGCCGCCGATTCATCGACTGCACATCAGCTCTCTTCCCTGGTTCAATCGTTGCTCGCCTTTCTTGAGGAGTAGCTGTATCCTCGGTGAATATGCGTCGACATTTACCTAGTAGAGGCCCAAATACGGGATACCTTCAGAATGCTGATAACCTGGAATACGAATCCAGAAAAAAATTAAGAGTTGACGGTTCTAGGTGACATGTTTAATATATGTGTTGTGATCTCAGATACTAGTTTTTGTCCAGTCCGGTAAAATAGAACTGGCATGTATTCCAAGCGAGTGTACGTCACACTAGGCGTGATTTTTTGAACACACCATAATGGCCGTATGCTCACAGCCAATGTTCTTACTTACCGAGTCTTTCCATTAAGGCGTCAGATGAGAGTATTAAGAATGAAAATGAAATAGATAGTGGAACAAGTGGCAATCAAATCAAGAGAACACGAAGGATATCTGCCAAATTGAAAGGGAAAAACTTCAAACGATGACTTTAATTTTTAATTAGAAAGGAGAAATGAAGTATCAAGTATTTCCTAGTAAACAGGCTATTGGTATGAAGGATATCGTAATTTATCTGGTACTGATACACCACTGCGCCACTTGCCAGACAAACATCAGGAAAAATACAATTTTTCCTTCATGTATCAAAGAACATTAAACCTATTTGTGTCTTTTCGTACGTCGTTCGTCTTTACAGTAATTACTGCAGGCATGTTTTCTTAGAATGCAAATGTTTATAACACAACGTAATCTTAATAACAAAGTGAGTAAAGCAAGTACTATTAACCCATTTGTACTCCCAATACTGTTAAATCACTTCACCGTCACAAGAACTTCAAATCAATGCCTTACATTATAAAAGTATTTCTTCGAAAGAACCATTGCACTTTCATTAACACGACCAATGAAAATTGTTGTGAAGGCTTGATGGAGGCTCTCTAAATGTTTTTTATGCGAAGTGCGGGCATTAAAACATAAAACCGGAGTATTACTCGGAAAGTATCATGCAAAGTTACTTATCACCCGAGACGAGGACCCAACATTATGCAAAACCCTTTCAGACGCGGTTTCACCTTTGATTCTTAATTATGACATATAAAAGTGTAAGATGCTACCATGTGCTTGGTCTTACCACAATGTGTGGCGTCGTTAACACGAGGGCCAGAACCGTTAGGTCGGTGAAAGTACGCTGCGGGGGAGGAAGGGGTTGAGCCTGAACTTCCGGGAGTTTGCGCTCTGGCGGGTGACTCAGGTAGAACCGCAGAGCCAAAAATACCGTAGGCTGTAAACTCCGAGGATGCTAGCCGGCGAGCCTCGTTTACGGAAGCAGGCAGCCAACCCTGAGAATCCTGTGTGGGGGCGTAAACCAAGGCTGGCCAGCGAGCCTCGCGCCAGCCGGCGAGCCTATCTATGGAACAGTGGTGGGGGTGTCAGCCTCAACTATTTAACGCGGCGCCATCTGCGCCCGCGCTCTCCTTCAGTTTGCATCGGGAAGCTTGTACGTGTGTGTACGAGGAGTGTAGGAGTGTGGGCGAGATGTCCGGAGAGTAAGGGCCAGACAATCTCGCGTGCTGTTGGCACACGGTCGCCACGACCGGGTTAAATTTTGGCGTCAGGCCATGTGACGGTAATTGTCACGGGACCGAGGTCCGACAGCGCGCATCTTGTATTTTCTGCGGTAAAGCAGTGTTCTGAAAGGAAAAGGTTGCCGGAGTGTTTTAATATTAGCAATTCATTGTAACTTGTACATAATCTTTAATATATTATTTTTCTTTTGTTATTGAAATTTATTTCTTATTTCACTACGTCACAAATGTCTTCAGAAGCCATTAAACAAGGAGGACGGTAGCATAATGTTGACTTCATTATCTATGTAATTCCTGGTCCAAACGTTTTTGTTGTTAGATTTAAATAGAAAGCAATATTTCTCTAGATAGCACTTTAAGAAATGTACGCACACTTTTTTATAACTTGCATTTAGTTAAAGTTCATTTTTGAACATATGAATTGAAAAGTTGTTGTGGAGATAGAAAAAGGCCATTCTAAGACATTTTTCTAAAATTGCCCCGCGTGATCATCTTGAATTTTGAGGAAATTTTGTATAGTATCTAAGTTTCACATCTCTCAAAGAAACTTTTCTGGAAAGTTGTAGTTTTATAAGTGCAGAGGTTTTTTGATATAGAGGTGGGTGTGACAGCGTCGTTGTATAATCGACTATTACATTTTTACAAGTTTGAAAAATAGTATTTCCTTTTCCGTTATTGCTAAGAATATGAAAATAAGCTTACTTGTACAACTTCTTCAACTCCTTAACGTTCTTTCAAACTGGAGTAACATGAATGTTTTCTAGTATAAATCCATAATACTAATTCATAATATATTTTTTTTATTTGTAACTTCATACGCGGTACGCGCCGTGAAGGCAGTAAGCATAGAAGGTAAATAAGGCCCGTCTCCTTGATGCGTTTCAAATGAGGAAAGCAAATTGTGGCTTGCGCAGCTAATTTTTTTGTTCTGAATGGCGTTTGTTTTCACAATGCATTTTACTACTCTCCGTACGAATAAACAAATCAAAAAAATTGCTTTTTTATCCAACCTTTCATCTCGCTTGAAAGGTGAAAGCTTAAAAGTGAAATAGCTTCTTGCTACAGCTTTTCTATCTTAATATGATACAGTATCATGTTTCATGGTATATTATTAATTATCACTATTTTGAAATCGTTGACTGCAAGATATAGGCATATATTTCTGAACGTATTACCTTCGGAGTTATTGAGATCATAATAGTAGGTGATAAGCTTCGAAACTTGAACACTTAAACAAAATTCTGAAGTTATTCGTTTTAAATTAATGATTTTCAAGTAATCTCAAATGATTTAATATACATTGTCAAATAGCTACTAAAACATAAGACAACTAAACAAAAGTACTACGCATGTATAAGGGCATTTGAATGAGAAAAAGAAAATATGATATGTCATTACATATTCTTCTCCTTTATCGTAGAATTATTACATCAGAGAAGTCAAGCTATATTTATTTAAAAAGAACTAGATAAGTTAATGAGAGAAATTGTACACCAATAGACCTAACATTTAATTTGTATGGTAAAACGCTTCAATTTTCTCTGTCGGATTTCCTAGATTTCACAAAGAAAACCATGAAATCCAAATTGAAACTAAACATTTTTATTTGCAATTGAAGTGGGACATATAAAAGTATTTTCTTAGCTTTAACCCTGTTAGACATCCTTTGGGCCAATAAAAATGCATTATGCAGTATTTTAAAACACCGTTCTTAGTTGTTTCAAAGACGACAAAATCCAAACCTCAGAATCACGTGCCATTGCGTGTAAAATTCATGCTTGGCCAAGCAGTCTGCCGACGAACCCTTCCAAACATTTTGTCTCGGTATTCTCGCTTTTTCCATTCGATTAAACTCGGGTTTCTCGCCCGCAAAGCATTTCTCATGCTTTGAACTTCCGAACTCGCATCTCGGCCTCCGTTCCTTCGGGCCGCGCTCGCCGCTTCCGCTGCAGCTGCCGCCCCCGCCGCCGCCGCCCCCGCCGCGTCGTGAGGCGTCCCGTCGCTTCGCCGTCCGCCGACGCCAACCCCTCGGAAAGACGCCCTCATCCCTGCCTCTGCCCTTCCCGCCACCTCTCCAATTCTTGAGACGTGTCGGCCGTCATGGGAACTCAGTCTCACAGCACCCAGTCGCACCGCTGCAGCAGGGTTCTTGATCACCCTGCCAACCTGCCCTTTTGTCATTTCGCCACACGCCTGGGTACCCACCTTCAAACAGTTCTACTGTTGCTACCCCACGCTCCAATCTCTTCCCATAATTTTCCTCGGCTGGGTTGTATTTCTGAATCACTTATTGTCCGCCACTCCCCCTACCTCCAATCCTATTGCTGTAACATCCCTTATCACGCCAGACTCCCATCATGTTTCATAATTCCACAATTACCCCATCTCTCTTTCCTATAGAATACTCTGATCGGGAGGTCTTAGGTTCGAGTTCGAGCGAGGGCAGGATTTTCGACACTAGCTTGTCAGCTAGGTCGCATTCAGTCGCTGTCTGGAGGAGAATTCTTACGTCCGGTTGCTCTGATAGGTAGTTTTCTGACGTTTATCCAATCAACACCCGGCGAATACCGGAGCAGTACCCGAACAAACGGGCCAAGAACCGCGCGCGATCTTTCCTTCCTCTTCCATGTCCTATCATCACCCATTCCGAACCGACGAAACACGCACTGACATGCAATACACCTCCCACATGCCGGGAGACCAGTCAGGAGCTTAGAGCTTGACCAGGCTGGAGCGGTTCCCCACTAGTGAGAGATACCTGGTTGATGAAAAAACCACGCTAGCCGAAGGTAGACGTACGGCGCCAGATATCATCCAGTGGGGAGATCACCACCACCACCACCACCTCTATAGGAAATCATTCACTTCCCTTACGGGACTAATGACCTTGGTAGTTGACGCGCTCGGAATCATTCATGACTTAATCATATAGTACACGTTGCCCCTCATTTTCATTACCCGTTTACGTCGCCAACCAGTCCTTTGCCATTGCCTCGTCGCCTTCAAGACGATCTTGCAAGCATCGGAATCCTCCTCGTGCCGACGCCCTTTGCCTCCGTCAGTGCCTTGCTGAGCTCGCGCCTTTTCCGTTTCTCTACGCGCCGTCCTCCTCCGCCTCCTCCTCCTCCTCCGCTCCCGCCACCGCCGCCTCCTCCGCCGCCTCTGCCTCCGCCGCTCCCGCCTCCTCCGCCGCCGCCAGCCGGGCGCGCTTCCGACCGCGGCGCCGACAAGCGGCCGCCGCTGCCGCCGCCGCCCTCTGTCGCGGCCGGAGCCGGTGTCCCGTGAATAACCGCCCTCGGCGGAGGGACGCCCCGCCAAGTTCGCCAGGCGTCGTCCGACACGCGGACCGCCCTCTCCCCTCACGCCCCCGCTCTCCGTCCTGGCAGCGCCCGCAGAACCCCGCGCCGCCCGGCCGGCGCGCGCCCTCCTGCGCACCTCCCTGTGCCTGCCCTTTACTCCCCGAACAATAAGGCTCTGGCCTTTTCATTACAATCCGTTCTTACGGCTGATCTGCAACGCCAATTCTTCGTCGATTGGCTGGCGTTTCTGAACACGTCGATTGC